GGGAATCCTCTCATTCATTTGGTCAAATTCAGCCCAGAGTTGGTTCCCAGGGGTCATCCCCAGATCTAAACCCTGTAGGGAGTAGATGATCAGAGAGGATCCAGGATGACCTAAAGAGGTTTGATCCCAGCTTGTAGTCTCACTGCGGTTCTGTTGGCAGACGAGCTGCACTGTGCAAAGAAATAACAGCAGGGGTGTCAGTAATTATGGCCCCAGTGAATTCATTAAAAACTTTTGGATTGATTTCCCCTCTGAATAATTCAGGTTTGTGGTTTTCCTCCATCTTTCAGTGTTGCTTTGTGCCGGAGGAGGAAAACATGGATTTGATTTAAGGGGTGTCAGTAAAAGTGAAGGTTGGTGGGCGCCCAAAGAAAACATGAAAGGGAAAATGAGAAGAAAGAAAGCTTGAGCCTGACCCGTCAGGTTGGTTCCGGTGTTCATGCTTCATAAAGCAGTCCTCCTGAGCACAGCCTGCTTATCTCTCTTTTTCTTTCTTAGTTTATTTTCATAAAGCGCCCTTCAGACTTTGGCCTGCAGAATGTATTAGAATAAGAAATGTTCCCCGTGCACATCAGCCTGATGAATTGGTTGTTTTCAGAACGTGACCAAAATCCTCCAGATTTCTAATATAACTGAAAAATTGTGATATTTTAATAAAATTTTCTGCATTTTTAGGTCTGTTCAAGTAGAGAAGTGAAGAGATGATGCTCTAATTATAAGCAGGAAATCATTCCTTATATATATATGTACATATGTTCCGTATTTTTAATGCTGATAACAGAAGTTTGTACTTTTGAGATGATTTTTCTAACAAAACAAAGAAGTTTAAACTTTATCTCAGTAAACTGGTAAAGAGTGGATCTACTTTTATTCCCAGACTTATTTTAGGTATAATTAGTTCACCTACAGCAGACGCCTTCATTTTGGAACAAATCTGAGAATTTGTGGCTGATCCTGTTTTTTTTAGGGTCCATTTCCTCCTGTGACGCCTTCCTCAACGTCTTTCAGACCAAAGGGCTGAGGGCCGAGGTCATCTGTCCCTGCGCCAGCTCGCCTGAAGCCTTGACGGTCGCCATCAGGAGGTAAACATGCTTCCCTTCTCTTTGCATGATCACGTCGCTTTGCATCTTAACCCCCCTCCTGCATGCAAACACACCCACATGGAAGACATAGTGCCACGGCAGCTGAAATGAAATTGGGTGCCTCATCTTTCAGCTCCCTATTTTTAAAACATTTCCTTGTCACATTTATCCGTTGCTGGGTGTTGATCTAGCAGATGAAATCCTGATCAAACAGGTTTAGGTTTGTGGTTATAACAGGAAAACAGTGGCCGGTTCTCAATTCATAAGAACACCAGTATGGACTTGTGTCGTCACCAAGTATGTTCTTGAGGAGAACACAGGAAAATCTGGACTCTGGGAGAACGGGAGCATTGTCAATTGGAACAGAGGCGTACTCATGACGTCACCACACGCCCGGCTCATCTAGAGCTGCAGTTCACCTCCTGTTATTAATAGTCTCTAGATAATAATAATAAATTCTTACTTTTTTTGATTTAAACAATAAAATAGCAGTGACTACTAATGGAGTATAAACTACTGGGGATAAAGACATTAAAAAGGACAGTAAAGGAAATAGAACTGTTGTACTACAGACTTAAACTCATGGTGCTTCAGTTCAGGTTTAATTTAAAAGTTTAACCTTTTTATGACTTTGCAGAAACAAGAATAAAATCTAAGACATAGATGCAACTATATCCTGAATGACTAAAGTTTCCAACAACTTCATCTCACTTAATGTCTCCTACAAAGCTATACGCACATTTGCTGTAAGCATATTTGCTCCAACTCGACTGCTGATAGCAAGCTTATGTTGTCATGTGGCGACATCACTTTAGACCAGCCAACTAAGATGGCCGTAGCGTCTATCTGACTGATGAGATTTGTTCCAGATATTGTCTTTTAACACTAGTTTAACCCTTCCTGACCAAAGCTGTGGTGTCTCCAGCTGGTCAGAGGTGAAGTGTGGAACTTGTTTTGCTGACTGGGAAGGAGCGAGGAGGTGGCGATTGCTTGGCTCTGGCAGCTGCAATAGCGACCATACCCCGCTCGCCGCGTTAATTATTGTTATTCTTGATTTTCATCTAACAAAACTAGCAGCTTTTTGGAGGCTTTAACATGTTCAAAAACTTAACAATAAATAA